AGGAAGGAAGGAAGGAAGGAAGGAAGGAAGGAAGGAAGGAAGGAAGGAAGGAAGGAAGGAAGGAAGGAAGGAAGGAGAAGGCAGGGAGGAAGGAAGGAGGAAAAGGGAGGGAGGGAGGAAGGATCAAAGGAAAGTAGAAAAATTAAGGAAGGAGAAATAAGTGTGTGACTCACCTAGAGTTTCCACTATAGGCAACTTCTTCACAATGACTTGTTTCTTGGCCATTCTCAAGACACCCAATACTAGCGTCACCGTGACTACGATGGGAAGTCCTTCAGGGATGGCAGCCACCGCCAAGCTGCACACACACAATCATTTACCACTGATGTTACACACCACTACCTCTTCCTGCAAGGAAGTATACCCAAGCATCAACTTGCTCCAAAACCCTCATTCTAGAGTAGACACAGAAGACTGGGCCAATGGATATATGGGTAAATGACCCAGGAATGCAGGTTTTTGTGGAATGTCTATTCGAGGGAAGATGGTTAGGTCAAAGTTGGCTTTTCAAGAAGACTTCTAGTTCTACTGTCTTGACCTGATGTCTCTAGTGTCAGGGTTCCAAGTAATGCACCCATTGAAGTCAGAACTCCAAAGCAGATAGATTCCTCAAAGAACAATTTATTTGGATACATCATATTGGCACAACTGGTGAAAACCAACTCTGAAAGTTCCTGTGGTTTTCACCTGATTAAAAGTGAAAGTTTTCCCCTTTCCCCAAGTCATCATTCACATTGTCCAATAGAGGTGCTAGCTGGTTGCTTGGTTACTTCGCTTCTCCTCTCCCAGCCACCTGTTGGAATGACCTTGGTTCCCACAGGAAAACTTTTTGTTTTGACTGCAAAACCTCAGCTAATTATTCCCTCCTCCCTGTCCCCTCTTTAGCCTTGTGGCAATCCTGAAGCCACAAAGATGGCTTCAGCCTGGTCCGCTTCATGGTTGACATCTAGGGTATTGGGAATTGTCTTCCAACATATTCAGAGGAAGCCAGATAGAAGAAATCTATTGTAATTTATCAAAGATGAGAAGACTTCTGAGAACATCTGTTCTCTGCATTGGTCTTAAAATTGAGGCTGGCTGGACAGCACTGGAATTCCTTCACTGGGCAGGAAGTCCACTAGATACGTTCCTTTTTGACTCTATGAGAAAATTTGCATATCATACTGATTCATAAGGTGGTATGTCTGGCTTTGGCCTCGCATGAGGAGTGATCCCAACCATTATGGGTTATCTAAAGTCAGAATCAAGTCATTATGATTTTTTTTAACCAATTATAGTTCAACAAACCAAGTCTCAGCAAGTCAACTCAACTCCTTTGATAGTTCAACATGCTATGCCTACATGCGGAAGAAATCTCCCTCAAACTTACCTCACTCCAATGGTGAACATGTCAAGGAGATGTTTCCCTTGCAGCCAGCCAATCAGCATAAGTAAACCTTGAAAAACATAAGGTGAAGGTAAAGGTTCCCCTCGCACATACATGCTAGTTGTTTCCAGCTCTAGAGGGCAGTGCTCATTTCCCTTATAAAGCCGAAGAGGCAACATTGTCCAAAGACGACTCCGTGGTTATGTGGCCAGTGTGATTAAATGCCGAAGGCACATGGAACGCTGTTCCCTTCCCACCAAAGTGGTCCCTGTTTTTTACTTAGGAAGACCACACCTAGAGTACTGCATCCAGTATGGTTCACCACATTATAAAAAAGATGTTGAGACTCTAGAAAAAGTACAGAGAAGAGCAACCAGGATGATTAGGGGACTGGAGGCTAAAACATATGAAGAACGGTTGCAGGAAGCGGGCCTGGCTAGTCTAGGGAAGAGAAGGACCAGGGGAGACAAGATAGTAGTTTTCCAATATTTGAGGGGCTGCCACAGAGAGGAAGGGGTCAAGCTATTTTCTAAAGCACCTGTAGGCCAGACAAGGAATAATGGATGGAAACTGAACAAGGAGAGATTTAACCTGGAAATAAGGAGAAACTTTCTGACAGTGAGAACAATCAACCCATGGAACAGAAGTTGACCTTGGAAGTTGTGGGAGCGCCATCGCTTGAGACTTTCAAGAAGAGATTGGACTGCCATTTGTCAGAAATGGTGTAGGGTCTCCCGCTTGGGTGGGGGGTTGGACTAGATGACCTACAAAGTCCCTTCCAACTCTGATTATCTGTTAAATCTATTAAATCTGTACTTGCATTTTTACATGCTTTCGAACTGCTAGGTTGGCAGAAGCTGGGACAAGTAATGGGAGCTCACTCTGTTACGCGGTGCTAGGGATTCTAACTGCCAAACTGCTGACCTTTCTGATCGACAAGCTCAGTGTCTTAGCCACTGAGCAACCACCTTCCTTGAAAAACATAGACACCACCTTATTTACCCCACCGCATCACAGATCTAGCAAAGTAACCGAGGCCTTCTACATGCTCAAAAAATAGCTTATTTTTCTGATCGTACCCATAAACATGTATCTGAAGAGGATAATCAAGACCCCTCATTTCATGTAGACTACCATTTCTCAACTTCCTGATCATATCCATGGACATGAACATCTAAAGAGGGATACCAAGGCCCCGCGTTTCTTGTTGACCACTATTTCTCTACCTCAGTAACTTAAAAGATGTGTGGACTTCAACTCTCAGAATTCTCCAGCCAACCATGTTGAAGTCTACACATCTTCTAGTTGATGAGGTTAAGAAACACCAATGAGGACAGTGGAAAACTGAACCATATAGTCTTTGGTCTCCAAAGTTTTTTGGGGTAAAAAAAGGTAAAACTCACCAATGATCCCAAAGGAAGCAATAGTAAGTTGTTTTCCCAATTTATCCATGTTTCTCTGCAGAGGTGTCTTTGGAGTCTTGATGCATTAGACCAGAAGGGAGGAAGAAATGGAGGGAGAAGGCCAAAAGACATGAAAGAAATCTATCAAACTGATTGGCCACACAATAACAATTATCACAGCATTTGCACTGGCTACCCACTCTGCTTCCAAGCGTGACTCAAAGTGATATTTGTCATCTCTAAAGTCTTCCCTGGCTCAGTGTAGAGGGAATATCTTGAAGAACCAGGAGGAAGAGCTGCTCCCAAGTCAAATGGTCTGATAAGAAGGGTTTAAATTGGGGCAACTTGAGAATGCCCCTCCTTAGTTTACATAAAGATAAAGGAGATGATGGGTACCAATAGAAAAGAATATTTATAGCTCTTGGTTGAATTGTGGTGTCCTTGGTGCTCTCTGGGTTTGGTTGTTTCCTTGTAGATATTTCTTTACTCAACTAGGTAACATCATCAGTGCTCAGGAAGCACATTCAGAGTTGTAAGATTCTGTTATTATAGCTATAGGTTGACCTGACCTATATGGCCATCAAGGACAAACAGCTTAAGTTGTACCTAAAATTCTAGATCCCACAGAAATCGAATGATGTGTTGTCATGTCCAAACACTGATCAATAAATGGTCCACTCTACCCTGAATCTTTGCAAGCTCTACTTGGTTGTGGCTATACTGTAGTAGATTTACACCAAGTTGCTGCAGCTTCCTTTTATGTTTTGTCATGTGTTGTTGCTAACTATGTCAACACCTTTCTCCCAACTTGGTCATGGAGTGGCACCTGATGTCTAATACACAGGACCAATTAAGGCAAGTTCTCAAAGGAACATCTGGTTTTGGTTTTGAGTTTTGAGAATGACATGTTCAAAGTCCATTTCTCTGTGTTTTCTTACCTCTTCCTCTTGCATCATTTTGAAGACTTCCCCAAACTGTGAGTTTTCACCGGTTCCAATAACAATGCCCTGCAGAATAAAAAGAAGTTAGAAAATATATCCAAAGCTGACTTTTTGCTTTTGTTTTGAAATTCACAATCCGAAGCTTCAGACTTTTCTGAAATAATGTAGGGAAATTCTTAAACCCTAATCCCTCCAGTCCCTTGTATACTTCTAAAATATTTGGGGGACAACTATGTAAGTTCTGCAACAACTATAAATGCAACTTTAAGGTCTTTTTACTGTGCTAAAACCTTTAGATCAGGACTTCTGAACTGGGAAAGGTACCTGTCACTTTTTTATTTCCAAATTAAATATTCTTCTCTCTCCAAGCTAGACAGATATTCTTCTTACATCTCTTCCTGCACAATTGGCTCTTGTGGAGAGACAGAAGTTGTTTTTCTATTTCAGAAACTACCACCATGCAACTCCAATGGTTCACCACCTGGGAGAGCTATCCACCAGCCCAACATCTACTGGAAAATGTCACAGAGGGGTCCATTTCTAGTGAATTCAATCTCTTCTAGTTCTATAGATTTAGTTCTGGCTGATTTAGTCAGGCTTTGTTATGAGAATGAAGAAAACCCATCTCTTCATCATGTGTAGGTCCTTCAGCTGACAGAAGGATGAATCAGAAAGGAAGGGATCAAGCCCAGAGTATGAAATCACACAGCATCCCCAACAGACAGCTATTTTGGAGGGTTCTCTCAGGACCTGGCAAAGCTGGAGCTATCCTTTGCCCAAAGCGTCCAGAAGCAGGTCCATGGTCTTAAAGCCAGAAATGATTATGTTCCCCCTCAGAGCAGCAAAGAGCTCAGAAACCAGAGACAAATGAAAGATCAACATTCCCAACAGCAAGAGGGAGCCCAGCCATGTTAGAGAAGAATGGCTGCAATGAAAGAACACTCAACTTGTATTACAGCACTCTTGGTTCAAGACAGGAAGAACTGATTCGGATCGCAGAGCCTCCAAAGAGAGGTCATCACTCCCGCCTCTGAAAAGCTAGGTGGAATGGTGAGGCTAGGATTGATGTCCACAGCAGTGGTGGGTATTCAGCAGGTTCTGACCAGTTCTGGAGAACCGGTAGCAGAAATTTTGAGTAGTTTGGAGAACTGGCAAATGCCACCTCTGACTGGAGATTTTACAGTATCCTTCCCCTGCCACGCCCACCAAGCCACACCCACAGAACCGGTAGTAAAAAAAATTGAATCCCACCACTGGTCCACAGTGAAGATTTCAAACAGCGGCTAGCACAAAATTAAAACACACTCCAACTCTCGTTGTTATGTGACATCTGGAAAACCACTCACTTTAGCCTTGCCATATCTCACAAGAGTTCCCATGAAGACCACGTTGGTGAGAGTCATTATGTCTCCTGAAGTTGCTAAGATGCCATCATTTTTACTACAAGGTTCCACTTCACCAGTCAAACTGGACTCATCCACCAGGAGATCTATCACCTTCAAAGAAAATCAGGATGAGCGCATTGGATCACTGCATCATTTGAGTCCACACTGCTCTTTCCCTTAACCTAGGAGAATCACCCATAGACCCTTGCTCATGAGATGGGTGACTGCAGAAATTAGCTGAATCAACAAATGAACTTGCATGCAGGGGATCTTCAAACTACAACCACATTTGAGACCAGATTTTCCATGTCCAAGCAAGGTAGTTATGGAATGCGTCGCACCCACTACAATTGAGCCTCTTCTCCTTGAAGCTCATTTCCTTGGTCATGATGTGCTACATCTCCAGCCCCATCTCCAGTCTGGACTGTGAAAACATTTTTCAAACACACAGACCTAAGACGTTTGCATGGACTTCCTCAATTCACCTACTTTTAGTGGTTTGGAATCATAACAACCAATAACATGGGAGTATCTATGGAATTTCACTTCAGATTGTCTCATGTGACCACATGCATAAGGGATATTCAGAGCCTTGCATGTCCCTCAAGCATTACCTCTGTGAGTCTTATGTCTGCAGGAATACGATCTCCGATGGAAAGGTAGACAACGTCTCCTGGCACAAGTTCCCGAGCGAGAAGGTGTTGCATTTTTCCTTCTCTCAGGCTGGATTTTCAGAGAGGCAAAGAAGAAATACCAGATGTTAGCAGAGCACATCCGTGAACGGGTTGTGAATGAAGATAGGAAGGGGAAAAAAAGAAGAAACTCTTTAGACATGGACAATTTGGCTGGGAATCTATTGGGTGGAATTCAACTTTATAGGGTTGCGGCCAAACAAATTGTTATCCTACCTCTAGGGTCTGCTTAGATGTGGATGGGACAAAAAAAGGAAGCCATCAAAGCATGTATGGACTTTGAAAGAGTAATAGGCCAAGCTCAGATTGGACCAAACTGTTAAACTTTCAAACGTACTAGCAAAGTTGGAAGTTGTTCTTCCTTGAACTCAACACAGAAATGGACATCCATCCCAGAACTGATAATTAAGACTGTAAGCAGCATACAGATAAATAAATCACCAATACTGATAAGAAAGTAGGAGTTTTTTCATCATCATTCACATTCATCCAGCAAAAAGTATGATCCATGGTTAAGAAGTTGGAGCAGCTGATCATCTGAGTACAAGAAGCTCTGATGCTGATAGTTCCTTGAGCAGAATTCAGAAGTTGCCTGGATTTTGGCTGCAAAGATGGTAGCCAGAAGACTTCCAAAGCAGAAAGGAAGAGAAGAAGAAGCCGGACATGCTCCCACTGGAAGGAGTGAGATATTTTCCAAGGATCCTGCTTACCAGTTGCACTCTGGTGGAACTAACTTGTTAAGTTCTTCCAGTGACTTTTCAGAGCGATACTCCTGCAGGAAAAGAAGTACAATTAATGTGACTTCACTGATGGCTGCTGCTACTACTACTACTAATAATCTAATGTGGAAAATCATCATACCTGGACAAAAGCTACTGTGACAACAATAACGACAGCCTAATGGGGAAGAAAAAGATGAAGTTGGTAGATAAACCAGACACATGTTTAATGCCAGTAAACAATTCAGGCAAATTCCATCTCAACTATCTGGATATAATAATTAACTGCAGTTCTTTTTAAAAGACGCAAACATTCTCAATTGTTTTCCCCTCATGTATGTGTGGAAGTCATTCACCCAACCCATCTAACAGAAGCAAAAGGTGGAGGGATTTTATTAGAAATCCTTAGATTTTTCTTCTTATACTTTGGCAATGTTCCCTTCTGATTGTGCTGAAGCCAAGGACTCCAAAGGTCACACTTCTGTTGGAGAGAAGCCACGTACCATTGTAATACTCACGGCATCTTCGTACTCTTTAGTAATCAGACTAACCACAGCAGAAGCCAGTAGCAAAAGGATCAGAGGGTTCTTAAACTACAATGAAAGAAAGAGCTGTTGATGACAGCCATTCTTGTTTTCTTTGCTTAACAGTTTATTGTGAGACTTAGGTTCAAATTATTCTACTTTAGATGTGTTATGTGAAGACCCATCTCTCTGGAGAATGCTATAATGATGGGAAAGGTAGAAGGAAAGAGGATAAGAGGACAGCCACCAGAAAGACAGAGGGACTAAGTTCCAGGGGTTAGGGGTGCATCATTGTAAGAGCTGAAGGACCAGCTTAGGGATGGGTCATCTCAGAGAAGATCTATCTATCTGGTCAATGGGAGTCAACAAAGACTTGATGGTCCCTCATCAACTAATCAATAGTGAGATTAAATGTTGCTACATTTCACACCCAGAATTAATTGCAAGAGATCCAGGTCTCTGCACCAACTGCAGAAATTCTCCAGCCACCTTAACCACAGATTTCTCTTGAGCTTCTGAACTTTTCTGTCTATCTTACTGTCCATCACTATAATCCCATTTCAGCCTTAGGAGGAATATTGTGTTAACACCGTTTTGCCACCACAAATCACACCTTTTTCTGCTGCTAAAATGTGCTACCTGGTCAATGTATTTCTTCCACACTGGTTCAGTATTATCTGCCACAAGTTCATTCCAACCATGCTTGACTCTGCGGTGCAGCACTGAGAATTCTGAAAGTCCTCTGTCTAAGTCAACCTGGAGGAGACACCAAGGAGTGTAGGGTCAAGACTTTGGGGCAAAATTGGCACGGCGCAATGGAGCTAAACATCTCTGTCAGCAAACAAACTAACTTTGATCAGACAGTTACCCTTTTTTGGCATTTGGGTTTCCACCATCATTAACATCTAGAAGAGTGTTGCTCAACCTTGGCTGGATGAGGAATTCTGGGAGTTGAAGTTCAATTCTGGGAGTTGAAGATGAAGTCCATCTTAATGGCGACAAAGTTGAGAAACACTGATCTTCTAGAAGAACTTTTCAAGATGGGGAACCTTTGCTCTTCAAGTAATGTCTTCCAGGAAGTAGGGATCCAGATGATGAGGGTTGCAAAGCACATAACATCCTAGGCAAGAGGCTTTCTTCTTCCACCTCATTGAAGGCAGGAGAGAGAAGTAAATGGAGGTCTGATCTGTTAGTCTCCTAAGATAATTCTGGTTGGGGCCAATGTGTGTCTCTTTATTCAAACACTTGAACTGAGATGGCCTAGATAAAACACTTGACCAGCTTGCAAGCTGAGACAGAGGTGTTTTGTGTGTGTGTGTGTGTGTGTGTGTGTGTGTAAAATGAGATTTGAAATATCACCTTTGCTATTTGCCTCATAAATTCAAAAGAAAAAGAAGTGCAGTTAATTAAAACTATTTTTCATTAACCGTGATAAAAGGGAAAGAGGCAGTGAATCTAAATGTTGGCTTCTCAAATTCTTGGACACCCTTTTAACATTGTGGCAACTGATTAAGGGGAAAAAGATCACAATTTGTGTTTATTCCTAAACTTCCTTATTCATACAGAACTTGCACCTGCTTGAATCTTTGCAAAGAGGTTGTTTTTTTATGCAGAGAAAACATTGTGGCTGGGGAAAAGAAAATAATTATCTCTCAGCTTTCTTTGTCTGACATTCTTCATCTGAATGGTTTAAAGCTGGTTAGCAAACATTCCTTCACTTTATAAAAAGCTCTTCAGATAGACAATGTTTACCTCATTCTCAAGAGATTTTTAAGCAATGGACGGTTATCCTTCCAAAGGTATAATAACTAAAGTGTTCCTTTAAGAGTTTGGTGACACTTACCTGCAACGTTTTGGCCAGGTCTTCTACTTGACATTGGCAAGCTGTTTTGGGTGGAATGGCCTCAATTTCTTTCTCTCGATGAAATGACTTCAGTTCAGATTCATCCTCTGACTGCATCATGCAAGCAATACATTGAGGAACATTATTAGCTGGTGGGTGACAGTTAAAACTCTCCTTGATCCTTGTCATAAATCACTGCTTGGGGTAGAGAGTGCCAAGTTCCCAGTTTCACCCACCAACGCCAATTCTTTGTCTCTACTAGCAAACATCAAATGAACTTTGACAAAGATGAAGGCGCTATTGTTTCCCTCTCTTGTTCAGGGTGGGGGGGGGGTCGGCCTTTCAAATCCACTCAGCAGAATTATGGGTCTTTTCTTCTGATCTGTTTTGGTTAATTCGCCCATCACAAATTTACACTCAGCTTTACAAGAAGCAAGGGACGCGGTGGCTCCGTGGCTAAGAGGCTGAGCTTGTCGATCAGAAAGGTCGGCAGTTCGACGGTTCGAATCCCTAGCTCAGTGTCATGGAGTGAGCTCTCGTTACTTGTCCCAGCTTCTGCCAACCTAGCAGTTCGAAAGCATGTACAAAAAAAAAAATGCAAGTAGAAAAATAGGGACCCCCTTTGGTGGGAAGGGAACAGCGTTCTGTGCGCCTTTGGCGTTTAGCCATGCCGGCCACATAACCACGGAGACGTCTTTGGACAGCACTGGCTCTTGGGAGCGAGAGATGAGCACCGCCCCCTAGAGCCGGAAACAACTAGTACATATGTGTGAGGGGAACCTTTACCTTTTACAAGAATCTGTCTTGGAGGCCATCAGGCAGATGCTACTCCTGATGAGCACAGAGGGGAAATGATGATGAAGGAAAGGCTTAGCGTATGATGGATGAGGTCTCCACATCTCCACATTTTAGGAAGGGGTGACCCATGATTCATTTTCAATTCTGTTGGCTTTCTCTGAATTTATTTGGGGTTCACTGCTTTTCCTAGGGTCCAGTGTAGGAACAGCACACTGCGTTTAACCAGGTTAGCGCATGAATACGCTTTCCCAGTTTGAACGCCTACACTGAAATGTTAACAAAAGGCTCTGCATTCAACCAAGGCGCCCATCCCTTCGACCCTAACCAAATGCTTTGAGAATGGAGCTGCTAGGTTTGTAACAGCCCCTATAAAGTGCCCTTTGCCAACTCAGTGTTTAAGACAGCAAGAAAACACACTTCTGTTTTGGGAAATTGTGTGTCCCTGTTTCCTTGGGATTTCTGGAGGCCAGAAAAAAACTAAAAAATAATTAAAAAATAAAAAAAGAGTTGTGGACTTCAACTCCCAGAATTCCCCTGCCGGCTATGTTGGTGGGGGAATTCTGGGAGTTGAAGTTCCACCTAGATCTTCAAACAGATTTATATCATTCAGAGCAGACCTCTCCAAACTTTGCTGCTTTGGGACTTGTGGACTTCAACTCCCAGAGGAGTTGAAGTCCACACATCTTAGAGCATGCTAGTGGGGAATTCTGGGAGTTGGAAGTCCATCATCACAAAGCCGCCAAGGTTGTGAAATATGATCCACTGGGCTCTAGCTGAGGTAGTTTCTGAATATGTGGAATTTCTTTGTTCATGGTAATTAATACCCCTGGCCAAGAGTTTCATAAGCCCTGGCTTGTGAAAATGAGCACTGTTTGCTTTGGTTGCTAATGTTTTTTTCCCCCCTTCCTTCTTTTGCTCTTTTGATTAAGTTCATCGTGACTTCAAGTTTAGGAACTAAAGTAAACATGGCCCTTAAATTTCTGGGAAGCAGATAAATGCCTTTTTTTTTTTTTTTTTGGTTAACAGAAGCAATCCAAAATGGACACAGAGCTGCAATGCATCAGGACATCTAAAGGAAATACTTTTGTGTTTGCATTTGGTTCGTGGTGCCAAGATTTCCTTTTGACAAACTTTGCCCTTGGCGAGCTAAATAAATAAAACAGGCATGTTGTCTCTCACCAGTTGGTGAGGGAGGGGGGAGGAGGGGACGGGGGGGGGGGGAGGAAATAGAATTATTAATTTAATGAAGACACCGAAGAGGGTTAGGGAAGGTTAAACATGCTTTTCTATGAGTCAGGTTTGCAAGGATTAGGTTTAACACGTATGCACAGACATCCGAATCAAAGGCTTTTCGTACAGTTCTGGCCACTTTTAAGACTTGGGCACATACACTTTCAGAATTCCCCAGCCAATATGGAATTCTGGGTGTTGAAGTCCACAAGTTTTAAAAGGACCAAGGTTGGACACCCTTGAATTTTACAGCTTTTCTCAGTTCAAATAAACCTGGTTTATAGACTTCCTGGGTATGATGGGAATCTTATAAACATCTGAGCAATATAATCTTAGAAGCCAGCGGGGACCCAGATAAAACTTCCTGTTAGGGAAATTTTTATATCTTATGTCATGGGTGCATTTCTTCCTGCTCTTATCTTGAGTGCTAATCATACAATATTTGTTGTCTTAAGTATATATCACAAAATTAAATCAGGAAATGGAGATCTTTCCGGGAAGGCAGTTTAAATATTCCAAAGAAGGAAACAGAAAAAGCAGTATGGAAAATATCACATCATAGTTAGGCACACATCCAATGTTTATTATTGCAAATACCTATACACTTTCAAGCCAGACAGAGTCTACCATGGGTTAGCAACTTCATAAGACTAAAAGCCCAAATGTCTTGGACAAGTTGAACTCATTCAGATGGGAAGACAATTGGTCCTGAACTGGACAATGTTTGGGATATGAGATGAAACCCAGCTCAAGGTTTCACAAGTTCTGAATGAGAGCTACAACCACGGGATGGTCCAGGCCAGGTTTCAACCCTCTTTTTTGTCCTATTTCAGCAGGTGAAGCTCTTTGGGGGCCTAGAAGTTAGTTTCTTGGATGGGAGCAAATGTTTGCTAAAATGAATGAATAAATTCAATCACTCAGGGTGTGGTGCACAGGGCGTGGTTAAAAAAAATAGCCAAGATAGAGAGCTTCTTACCTTCCATCTGGCTATTTTTACAACCTTTCTGCAGAACAAGACATTAGGAAACCATTTCTATAGCACGGCCAAGAACATGGATGTAGTCATGTAAGCACTAGAATTTGAATACTTCAATCCTTGACTTACGACAGTTTAGTGATCATTCAAAGTTACAACGGCACTGAAAAAAAAAGTGACATGACCATTTTTCACACTGAAAACCGTTGCAGCATTCTCATGGTCAAAATTCAGACATTTGGCAACTGACTCGTATTTATGCCGGTTGCAACATCCTGGGATTACGTGATCCCTTTTGCGACCTTCTGATAAGCAAAGTGTCAGCTTTGGAAGCCGTATTATAAGGTGGTCAACCGTCCTCCTTTAGGGAGGACAGTCCTCCTTTTGTAAGTTCTGTCCTCTCTCGAAAAGTGTCCACCTACATGTCCTCCTTTTGGATATTTGAAGACTAATCTGTAAATCTCCATATTTGATCGATGCCGATCCGATCCGTTGTGTGTGATGTGACGTATTTGCATTTGACATGGCAATTCGTCAAGGCTCGGCACAGTGCGGCGAGACACAATTATGAGATGCATGCGCTCCACACAGGAGAATTATTTTGAGAGAGTGTGCCGTGCGCAAGAGTGCACCGTGCGCAAGAGTGCACCGTGCGCAAGAGTGCACCGTGCGCAAGAGTGCA